AAGCAGCAGCGAGCGCGCTGCCGCCGCCGCCGGGCTGAGCGGGGCCGGCGGAGCGGAGCGGGGCGGGCGAGCAGCGGGGCCACTCCGGGGCGGGCTGCGGCCGCGGGGCTGCGGGCGCCTCGCAGCAGCGGCGGCGGCGGCGGCGCTCCCCGGGGGCCGCGATTTTCCTTTTCCCCGGGCGGCCGGGGGGGGNNNGGGTGGGAGGCGCGGGCCGGGGCCGAGCGGGAGCTGCCTCACGCGCCGAGGGGCAGCGGCGGGATGCGGGCCGGGGGCGGCCGGGCGGCGGAGCAGCTACCTGTGTGGCCCGGGCGGCCGGGACCTGCCGGAGACATCGCCATGTGAAGGGGCAGACCCCGGCCGGCTCTCCACCCCGCCTCGCTCAATGGGAGGTTTGTTTTAGGGAGGACTCACCCCCTCCCTCCCAACCCCCCCCCACCCCCCCCAAGGGCTGAGGGTTATTTGGGGAGCCGCCGGCGGAGCGGGCGGCCGCGGCGCGCACCAGGTAACGCCGGGAACCCATGTGCGGCGCGCGGCCGCGGCCCCGAGCCCACGCGCGGCCGGACCGGGGGCAGCGCGGCGTGCGGGGGGCGGCGGGAGGGCCCTCCGAGGCCCCGAGCGGACGGCGGATCTCCGCGTGTCCCCGCCGCGTGCGGGGCGGCGCGGTGCCGAGCGGGGGGCCCGGCTCCCCGCCGTCCCGGGGGAAGGCGGCCGGCGGCGGCGGCGGCGCGGCCGCGCGGGGCCAGGCCCGCCGCCCGCCGGAACGCGGCCACGCACACGCGCGACCGCGCCGCCCGCCGCCGGGGGGCGCCCTTCCGCCGGGCGGGGCGCGGGGCTGCGTGCGGGGCGCGGGCAGGTGTCCCCACGGCGGGGGGCGGCGGGGACGCGGCGCGGGGGCGGCGGGGCGCGGGGCCGCCTCGGGGCGCTTCTCTCGCCGAGCTGGGAGGCGTGAGCGGCGGCCGTAGGTGCCGTCAGGGGATCCCCGCTGAGCTACCGGGCGCCTTCGTGCCGGCGCGGCGCTTAGGGGGCTGCAGCCCCCGAGGTCGCCGCGTCGGTCCGTTGATAATGAATGGGCGAGGAGGAAAGGAGAGGGCTGGCGTGCTGCTGCTGTGAGCGGCGTTTGCTCGTGGCCGCGGCGTGGCTGTGGGGGTGAAGCCGGGCGCGGAGGGAAGTGCCTCGGCACCCGGCCCCACGCAGTGCATGGCAGACGCCGCTCCGGAGCACGGCGTTCACCCAGCGTCCGTCCTCCTGCAGTCAGCTGGGCGCCACGCTGTGTCTTGCAGCCGCAGCTCTGCAGCCAGGGCCCATGCTCGATCGTAAGGCTGCTAAGGGGCATGCGTCTTTGCTCTAGCAAACAGTGCTCAGAAACATCCTATTATCTTACTGTATATATGTGTGTATATATATATGTACGGTTCTCCACGAGGCAGGAGCGTGCATTCTTGTGTTCTTGCAACGCACAGCACAGGGTAGAGTAGCTCCAAGCTGGAGCCTCTCAGTGCTACCATTTGCACATGAGTACTGGCTGTACAGCATGGGATGTGTTTCAGGGACTCCACCATGTGATGCCCAAGGAACCTCATAACCGAGGAACCTGCCATACTCTCCTGTCCCACAAGCATAGAGATTCTGCTAATGGAGGACACCAACTACATCCCTCAGAGTCACGCTCTGCCCATTGCTCAGGAAAACCCCATTGCTTGGGGGAAGCCCATACATGCGGTCGCTCTGGCTGTACTGCAGCCTGGGCACACTACAGATTCTGTCAGCAGTGCTTCCTGGCAGCCTCTGGTTCACATCTTCCTTTGCACGTGCAGCTATCTGCTGTGTTAGCATCATTTTCTCAGTGTTAAGCCATGCAGAGTAACGAAGTGAACTAGAGCACGATGGCACCGTGTTCTAACTGCTCTCTCTTGCTTGGTCTCTCTTCCAGATCTAGCTGCCTTCACACAGACCATGCTCCCAAAGGCTGTATGATCATTTCTGGTGACCGCCAGCGGAGGCTCACTGGGGCCCGTGCAGCAGAGCAGGAGGCCGAGGGGTTCCTGCTGCCCCCCGGGCAGAGATACCGGCGTGTGGCCGACCCGCAGTGAGGTGTCAGCTTCAGAGGCGATCCGAGACGAGAGCCGCCGTGAGGTGCTCCGGACCTGGGAGGAAGCGGAGCGGCGGCAGCATGGACAAGGACGGCACCAACCTGGCCGACCAGCAGTATGAGTGCGTGGCTGAGATCGGCGAGGGAGCCTATGGGAAGGTGTTCAAGGCCCGCGACCTGAAGAATGGTGGCCGCTTCGTGGCGCTGAAGCGGGTGCGGGTGCAGACCAGCGAGGAGGGCATGCCGCTCTCCACCATCCGGGAGGTGGCCGTCCTGAGGCACCTGGAGACCTTCGAGCACCCCAACGTGGTCAGGTGAGGAAGCGGGGCCTGCGCTGTGGTGTGTGCACTGGGCGAGCGGTTTGGGCGCGTGGAGGGCCGGGCCGCCGATGGGCTTTGTGGATAGAGAGAGAGCTCCTCTGTGCACATGGAGTGTGGTTTGAGGTTTCGACAGGCCGTGGGGCTGTGCCAGAGCTCACCTCATCCCCGTGCTGCCTCCCACACACACAAACACCCATCTCCAGAGGCATAGGCGTGTGACACAGTGCTTGGGTGGATGGCAAGGAGCCCCATACGCACCATTCCCTCAGGCGTGAGAGGGAATGAAAACCCAACAACTCCCTTTGTCCCAGGTATTAGCTCTGACAGCTGCTGATGATTCTCAGCAGCTCTATTCGTTACCCAAAGGTAATGGTTGTAGCGTTAGTGGGATATGCATTCCACTTCTTCAGATGTTTTTATGAACGTTTGCAGATTATTATGTTAAAGAGGAGGAGAAGCCTACGACTGATCTTTACAGGCCTTGTGACTGACCGCTGCTTGTTGGTAAATTCCCCCGGAGGTGCTGGTGGTGCTACCAAGAGTGCAGCAGAATGAGTTCAGGCCTTGCTTTCAGCATGGTGGCGATGGCACCAGGTTTCCTGGCTGTTGTGTTGGTAGCGTAAGCTCTGAGTGAATGAGCTTTGTTCTTGGGCAGGTTCCCCATGCTGAAACTGCCTCATGAACATCTTTATTTGAATGTCACGGACTTTAAAAAGTGTACTTTGCTTTGAGATACTCGGTTGCATCATCTTGCTGATGACACTGCATCAATAGAAATATTTATTTGTATTATTTTACTCACACATTACATAGTAAAAGGGAAATATTCCATGCTTCACTAGTGCCAAGCCTCTTTGAGTCGTGGAGAAATAGAGATGCTGTGGTGATAGAGGTGGCTGTCAGACTGGCTTGCAGCTGTGGTCACCATATTTGTCTTAGGGGCTGAGATGAGGGCTTTCATGGTAGTAAATGGAGCAGGACAGATAGGAAAGGGAATAATTAAAATACAAAAGTGAACAGCTAGAAATAACTTAGTTTTATTTCATCTCAAGGCAAAGGAATAGAACAGTCTCATTTCTGAGCAAACTGAATAGGCAAAGAATGTTCTATGAAGTACTAGTCATGGAGCGGGGAGTGGCTGGAAGTCATAGACCTCCTTGCTATATCTGAGCAATGGGATGCTTTCTGCAGCCCACACTTTATCAGTGCTGGTCAGAAAAATCCACTGTTTGCTCAATAACCATTATTCTGATGGGGACCTGGTAATGCCAGAGGCTTAGCTGCAAAAACTGCAGAACTGGAGGCATGTTAGTGTGGGCAACATTTCGTATTTGGTCAATGAATCAGGTGGACTGATGCATCCAATGACCTTTCTTGGCAATAGAGATAATTAAGAGTTCTTAAAATCTCTGAAATCCAGTCTGCTAATATCAGAGATTAGATGTGGATTTAGATGCGCAAGTTTAGATATTTTTTTTGAAAATTGTAAGCTTTCTTTGGGAATGATTAAAAGAATGCTTATGAACTTTGTTTTATCACTGAGATCTTTCCATATGACGTAAAAGATTTTTTGAAGTGCTTTCTAATCCAGAGATCAGAACGTAAGAGCAATTTCAAACATTATCTCTTCTAAAACAAGACAAATACTTTTTAAAAGTAACCTCTGTTGTGCACACTTTTAATCAGTAGAGCACATGTAGCTATAAGTAGCACTTTGGAGTGGTTGAAATTGTATCCCTGTAATGAAAGGTTATTTGAAAATGTTTAAATCATGGCCAGATTAGTAAATAAAAATAATGGCAAACGCATTGTCTGCGTACTGGAGTAGGCGGTATGGCGTGTTCAGAGCACTGGGACAGCCACATTAATATTTGAAGCCAGATGTTTTGTAAAGGGAACATCTATTTTCTGAATGTTACAGGCAAGTAGCCCGAGAGAAATGAGTGAGCGATGCAGAATATCACATCAAACCCGTCAGCTCTGAGTAAAGGCGTGCAGTCCATGAGCTGTTTGGTACAGACAGTCATTCTGTGAGTCAAAATTTAGACAAACTACCAAGAGTTGAGCTGTATTTGACCTGTGCTGCTGAGCAAGTGTGGTGATGGTGCTCTGTATCAGCTGGCGGCAGCAGCAGAAGCCACGAGCTGTGTCACGCTGTGCTGAACTCAAAGGATAGGCTGGGGCCAGCCCAGCAAGCACTGTAAGGAACTCAGCCCAAGGCTGTCCTGTCTGTGTGAAGAGATGTTGAATGTGAAGAGCAGTTTGGGAAGGAGAATTCCCTGGTACTTGCTTAGTAGAGAAGCAGCTGCATGGTTTTGCTGGTGAGTCTTGATGGAGGGCCAGCAGAGCTTCTGCGGCCCAGCATTGGCCTGCTGGGCATAGATTCTCTTCTTCAACATCCTGAGGAATGCTTGGTGCCAAAACTGGTTCCTAATGCTAATGCTTCTGATAATGGAGAACATTCTCCATAAAGCAGAAATGACTAAATAGCATAGAATAATTTTAAACAAAACATTTGTCATATTTTTCCATACTACTTCTTGCTAATTATGTGAGGGTTTGTTTCGTGTCCCTTCTACCCAAGTGTCTCATTTCCATCTTTGCACCATGCTGTGATGTGCTTCTCACAGCACCGCTGCTTTCACTGCAGCCGGTAAAAAATTAGGTAAGAGCTAGTGGCTGGATAAGGCAAGAAGAGGTGCAGGGTGAGAAGGGAAGTCTGATCTTCAGCAGAAAAGTGGTGGTAGTGGAAGTCTCTGAACTGTTAGCTATAAAGGGATTAAGGCCTAGTGGACTGACCAAAACTTTTGTAAGACTAACAAAAATAGAATATTGAAAGACGTGGGAAAAAATGCAGTAAAAAGGGTGATTGCTTTGCCCTTAAAATATTGTCCTGATCACATTTGGCCTTGTAAAAAGCCCCCCATCAGGACACCTTACACTATTCCACTTGCCTTCATGGAGGGTAAATAGCCAGCAAAAAATAGCCAGTTTTCAAGAGTAAATGGTAATGTGAATTGTTCTAAAGTGAGGAATGTTGTAGGCTATGGAATGTTCTTAGTAACAGGAGGATGATTGAGGTGCTCACCTTTCAGATAAAAAGTAATGCTTTATTCAAGCTTTCCTTTGTGCAGTAGTTAAATCTGGCTAAAATTGGTCCTGTACTTATGTAGCTCGGTGCTGTTCTCTTTGGGAAGAAATGAAATATATGTAGACAAAGGACAGGCCTTGCCAGGAATAAATGACATATTAGATTCAGGAAATTCCTGTGTGTAAAACTGGGAGTATTCCCTGCTGTAATATATCTGTAAATTTTTTCCTGTGATTATATTGCTAAATTCAGCAATATATTGTGTTCATTTTATATCTCTCCTGCTGATAAGCAGATGAATAATTTTCCCCTAATGTTAATTATCCATCAGACTGTGAATTTGCACCCTAGGAAGATGATATACAAGGCAGAATACTCTAATTCTTGCAGTGCTTGATTTCTAACGTATATATGTAGGTAAATACATTCAACAGTTTGAATAGTGTTAAACCATAAGCAAATACAGCAAACCTGCAAAGCTGTATTTCTTTGCTTCCTGGCTCTTCTTTCTTTTTCTTTTTTTTTTTTTTTTTGCAGGGGAGGGAGGATAAATCTGATTTGCTATTTTTAGGAAGTCTGTTACTTTAAAACAATCGAAATTATATTGAATGTAATCTATTATAATCTAATCTGGTCTGTTATGTTAAAGATAAGTGTCAGAAATCAAGCCGTTCAGGTTCATAACTACCATCTAATAAAGAACTTAAAATCTTATTTTTCTCCTTCCTGTTAAGAAAGGGTAATAGGTGGCCCAGGTAATTGACTTCTGTTCTACAGTGTGATCTGCCCAGCTGGAAGCATAACTCCATTCCTCAGACTTTTTGGTATGTGGATAAATGTGTGGGAAACCCAATAATTACAAGTAAGGGAGCAATTATCCTGTATTCAAAGTTCAACATTACTTTACATACAGTGAAATTAAAATGACACTGTAGACATTGTGGTAACACAACACCATCATGATGGTTTTTCCTTACATTTGCAGTCCAGTGCTATTATCTTTTGGGTTACAATTGAGAGCACTGCGGAGCCTATCAGCTGCATCCCCTGAAGGACACCTGGCTTGCCCCATCCCTTTGTGCCCAGGCACAAAGACCTGCACCTGACTGCTCAAAGCTCCCAGAAGTACACTCCAATGGCTTGGTCCTTAAAATGGTGTTATGCTAAGACAGGAAGTATCCTTTTCATGACAGCATCTTAAAATTCCTCATCTAACTCAGTACAGAGATCAGTCAGAATCTGAAATAAGTCACTAATATAAAGTAAAGCTTTTGGAAGGTAGTTTGAACTTGCATTTTTTTTGCTTGTTCAGTTTGTCAAACTGAAGGCCTATTGTAACTTACAGTGGGAGAGGAGTTTCAAAATGCAGTAGCTAATTTTGTTTCTCTTTTCAGTTTGTGGCAATACTGATGTTGGCTGCTGTCTTTTTAACTGTGCTGTTAAGAAGTTTAAAGGGTGATGTTCTCAAAATCAGTGAGATGTTCCATCCTGTTAAGTGAAACATTTCTATTTTAGGGGGTATTTCTCTCCAGTGAATTCTGCTTCCTTCCTTACTTCCTTTTTCTGCCAAGCTAATGTTAAACTTTTAGGGTATGACATCATCCCTACAGATCAGTGGCGTGCAATACAATTTATTTGCGTGTAGCACCACTCATACACAACTGACAGACTCCAGGAGTGGGTACTTTCCCGTTGCTAGGTATGGGGATTATCTTGTGTGCTGAAAGAGTGAAATGAGATGTAGAGATGGGGTGAAGCAAAAGAAACTGAACTGGAAACTTCAAAATTGCCAAGTTTAAAGGAATTAATGTGGCAGATTAGTCTCAACAGAGGTGGATGAGTAATGGGAAGGAAAAATTGAATGAGCCTCAGAGTCAGCTTTAGGCTAACACAAACAAGATGG